GGGAAAGATACAAAAAAAGAGAGGACACAAAGCTAAAAGCTCAGAAATATTTCTCAGTTTTCTTTGCTTCTCACCAGTCAATCTATTTACATTCTTTTCTGCAGCACTGAAGCAGTCCAACATGCTGAACAGTGCCTTCCCCCCATCATTTTGTATCACCATCAGATCCCCAAGACATCTTTGGCTTTTACAGCTGCAGACAAAGATGGGTTAGCCAGCATTTCCCTCCTGCACACCCCAGCCAGTGGCCCTCACCATTCCTTCCATTCCGTGTGGCAAGAGCAGGACGATCCCGTTGTGACGAACCCACTTGGCCTGGCCCGAGCTGATGAACTGGTCTATTATACACTGTGCTGTGTTGTGGAAGTCACCAAACTGGGCCTCCCAGCATACCAGGGCATTGGGACTTGCCATAGCAAAGCCAAGTTCAAAACCTGAGAACCAAACAAGTAGCAGAATTAGAAAAGAGGGAGGTTTGCTGAGAATTCTGTTCATTTATCATTTTAAAAAAAAATTAAAACAAAACCAAAATAAGAGCAAGAACTGGATTTTGGTAGCCCTGATATAAATCACGGAATTTTCAGTAGCATCATTTCCATCAGAAAGATCACCAAATAACGTTTTTCCAATACCAATTCCAATCCTTCAAACTTTTCCTCAAACATTTAAATATCACAGGACTTTTAAGATAAACAACTAAAACCTCTCCCTCAGCTCAGACTTTCATGTGACATCTTCCTGAGAGCTCACTGAGGTAGGTACCATCTTTTCCTGTAAAAATCTACTTACAGCCCACTACTAGTTCAATAAGCTACTCGTTAATTTTATTATTTGCATAGCCCTGCACAATACTATCTTTTTTTTTCCCTCCCATCTGCAGGTGCTGAACAAAATTATTGGTGACATCAATCATCAGTCTATTGGCAGGAACATAGTCTTGGACATAATAGGTGCATGGGAGACACGTCTGGGACTTGTGTAAACAATCCTTTCTTTGGCAGCGTTAAGGACACTTTAGGTCTCTGCCTCAGTGGCAGAGAGGAAACCAGAAGTGCTCTTCATGGGGAGGACATTAATTTCTTCAGCTAATGAAAACAGAAAGATGTAACGGTCTCCCTCTCCATTCTGTGTCAAAGTTTGCAACTAATTTTCAGGTGGTTTACAGTAGCAGGTAAGTGCAGAAATTCCCCTAAACTTGTGCTGTTTGAACTGTAAATTCATCAACTCCATACTGAGCAGAAGGGCCACACCTTCCCACTTACTCAGACAATGGTAGGTTAATGCAGCAGGACAGACATACAGCTGCAGGACAGACATACAGCTGCAGCCTGGCTGACGGCAGCACAGGTGTTCTGCACAGAGCAAGCCAGGCAGCTTGTTGTCTGCTCTTAAAACTTGTCAAGGCTCAAACATAACTGAAGGCCCTCGACAGGTTCCACAAATATCTCTTAAAGGCAGAAACGAATTACTGCTCTAAGAGACCTGCTGCACTATGATAAAGCCCCAGCTCTACAACAGGACCTGGGGAGATGACTGGGAAAGAGAGAAAAGAAAACCAAATCAAACTGCTACTGCAATGTAAGCTAGGTAATTGATTCTGAGTAGCTCTACAAAGGCAAAAGACAGGAAACTACAAGGGTGTTTGCATGTGCTACATGGCCTCTGCTGTATAGCTTTACAAAAAACGCAGAATTTTGTGTCAAGTTGGAACATGAAAACCTAGCTATATGCAATCTCCCTGTCTCAGTTTAATGACCACACTTAAAGTACTTTTCTATACCACTTTCCATAGTGAACACTTAAGTGTATCTAATAATTGAAAAATATATATTTGATCTCTGCTCATATCTTCCTTTGACACTTCAATATAGCTGAGCCTGGAGTGCTGAGCTAATATCTGTACTCATGTTCTACACCTACAGTTTGGAATGATTAAAACCAAAAAAGTTAAAGCTCTCAGTAAAAAACAGTGCTACATAGTATTGTTCTGGATGTAGAGGTTCTGACTGAGGGAAAACTGATTCAGTACACATAGAGAATAAACATTTAATAGATAAATATGTTTTATGATGAAGTTTTTAAGTTCTGCACAGAATATTAAGATCTGTTTTCGAATACAGAACTGCAACATGGGAAGACTCCCACTGAAGGTTACCCCAGCAGAGCAACGAGCCTTGTTGTGTAAAATTTTATTTTAAAAGCTACAATGAGTTGTAACTCTTTTCTGAGTAATTGCAAGACAGTAAAACACCTGTTTTACTGATATGTATTTATTATCTCTTTATAGCTTCTTTCTTTTAAAATCTGTACTTGCAAGCTAAGTTGCAAACAGAGTCCCATCCCGCTACCATTGATCTACACTGAACTCAGCTTCATGGTTTTGCTATGTACAAGTCACTGTAATTTCCATTTTTGCCTGGTTTCCTTACTGTGACATGGTAGCCACTCAAATGCTGTTCTACAATATAGGCTTGACAGCAAAACCAGCTCAGGCAAAAATGAACACAGCTTCCGGTAACAAAATATTTGTACTACTTAAATTAACCCACTGGTCCCCAGCCTCCTCCTACCCTCAGTCACAAGAGTAGTGTACATTTAATTAAGACAGAAATGTGCCTAAGACTGTAATTTGGAATGCAGAGGGAAATCCCTTCATATCTGAGAGAACAATATACCTATCTAGATACTATGCACTTATTTGGGTTTCTCCTCCTTTTTTAACTTGCAGACATTCTCAGGGTTACAGGATCCACCAGCATTTAGTAAACTATAGTAAACTGTTGTGAAGCTGTGATAAAACCCAAAGCCATTGGAACCGTAGTTTCTGACTCTGATCAAATCCACTATACAAATCTTCTAACTAGAAGAGTTTCAGAAACTTCAAAAAACTCAGGCTTCCTGGAAGAGATGAGTTTAACATCTTGACATTCTCACATATAGAAGGCTACTGCTACAGGGTCACCAACAAGTGATAGCTGACATCTCTCATATACTTATCATTTGTGATTTATATCCTGGTGACTGGAGGCTGCAGTCCCTCTAGGAGAGCCTCTCTTTGTGGAATTCAGTGGATAACAGAATTACTTCAAAGAGAACCATAACACAAAAAAACTATATAAGCAATAATAGAAAAATATCTAAAATACCTTTAAGATGGCCTGGCATTCCAGGCATTAAAAATATA